CCCTAGAATGGCAAGAAGAGCACACGGACTTCCAGACAGGTAAAAGTTCTGCTATAAGAGTGAATCTTATTATGGATGTGGTTGCTGTGGGAACAGGGAGGCTCAAAAGCAAGAGGAAACATGGAACACGCAGACAGGGGCGGCGGCTCACCTCTAAACACAGCTGGTCCTTTCCCACTCAAGGTCAGCCGCGAGCGCGGCCCACTGGGCTGGGGCGCCAGCAGGTGCGTGCAGTGGTGAGAACCACAGGGACTGCCTGGGATCAAATCCCTGCTCCACTCGTGGCCGGTGACAATTTACCTACCCTCTCTGTGCTCAGTGTCCTCATCTATAAATATGGGCGGTGATGTGGCACCCACTTCGCTGGACTGTAGTGAGGTTAAAAGGACTGGGGCTGGGCACAGCAAGCGCTCCGTAACGCAGTCGCTAAGGGAGAAGGAGGGCGGACACCCACCTGTCTCCTTCCGCAGGTTCTCCTCCAGCGTGGACAGCTTGACGTCGTAGGAGTGCGCCTGGCCGTGATGTCCTCCTCCACCTGGCCGGACTCCTGCTCTGCCTGGTATTCGGGCCTTCAGCCGGGCAGGCGTCCTCGTACTCCTGGGCGGGCGGGCAGGGGGCAGCATTTACCGCCATTGCAGAACGTGCGTAACGACACTGGCCATGCGAGAGCCAGACGAACCCGGTACGCCACGCTGTGCGTGGCTGGCTGGCGAACAACCCATCTGTCTGCAGTCCATGTTTTCCCACCACAGCGATGCACCACGAACACCTCCCATCCACAAACGCCTTTCTGCCCAATGGTCTTCAGCCCGTCGACAACAACACACGCTTTTTCCAGCCACTTGCTCCCCATCTTTGCTGTCACCGCGGCTCTTGCCAAACAGCACCCGCCGGGACCGCCCCAAACCTCCCCACGCACAGCCACCCGTGCCAGTCACACCGGGTCTGCCCCTCAGGAGCCATCAGTGGCATCCACGTTCACGGGAAAAATCAAGCTCCTTAACTGGCCTGAGTCCCCACATGATCTTGCCGCGTCTGCCTTAGTGGCCATGTTTGGGGCCACTGGCTCCTTGCACGCTGGGCACGCTCCGCTTCCTCCGGCCTCGGGCCTCGGCTCTGCCTGGGCGAGCTGGTCCCCAGCCTCAGAGAGGCCTTCCCTGACCATCCCTCTCAGAAGGCCCCGTCCTCACCTCTGTCGCTGTCCCGTTCCTTCTTAGCACCATCCTGAGCTTCCATTACTCTCTTTATTGTGTGTGTGTGACTGTTTTTTAGACAGGGGTTGTTTTGTCACGCAGGCCGCACGATCATTGTTCCCTGCCGTCTCAAACTCCTAAGCAATCTCCTGCCTCAGCCTCCCGAGGTGGTGGACTACAGGCACGTATCGTTGGCCCAGCTAATTTTTGCATTTTTGTAGAGACGAGGTCTCATGTGTTGCCCAGGCTGTCTCGAACTCCTGGCTCAAATATCCTCCACCTTGGCTTTCCAAGGTGCGGGATACAGGTGAGCCATTGTGCCAGCCTGAATTTGTTTATATTGAGTATAGCACACAGGGTGGGAAATGTCACGTTGAGAATGCCCCTCCGCCCAGAACGTCCATTCCCATCTTCCTAGGCTGGTTTGTGCAACTTTTTCTCTCCTCGGAGCATCTCGCTGCCAGCGGCCTCTGCCGGCAGCTCCACGGCAGAGAATTTCCTCTTTATCCTGGAGACGCTTCTATTCCTCTTCTGGTCACTCACTGCTTCCTCCTGGGGTGAGATGGCTCCCTCGCAGGAAGACCTGGGCCACCAGGGGTCCCTCGAGATCCCTCCCAACCAGCTCCTGCTTGGGCAGGTTTCTCTTCTTGGATTTGGAGACAGGACAGACGGGCCTCCTGCTCCATTCTCTGAAGCCGTTGGAGGCTTTGCTCTGCTTCTTTCTGGGACTTTCCCCCAATTTCGCTAGGCCCTGGCTGAGGACGCCAGAGCACACCAGCCCGGACCAGGTGTGAACAGGTGTGGCCAGGTGTGAACTCTCCAGCACCTGTCTTCCCTCCTCACAGCCCCAGGCACCCTGCTGTTCTCAGAGGACCTTGAGGTGCAGCCTCTGCATTTTCCTTTTTAAGTCCTGCTTCCCTGCTCCGCCTCCTGAGCCAGTGGGCCCTTCGTGCTACTCTCTGTATCCGTCTGACTCGGGTCTGTTGTCTCGCCCCTACCAGGGTGCACACTCCAGAGAGCCAGGACCCTCCGTCTCGTCGGCTCAGTCCCGCATGGAGCAGGGCTCCACAAACACCTGCTGACCCAGAAATGCAGGAAGCGGAAACTGCGGGCTTCGGGGTAAGCAAAATATCCGGCTTCTGATGCACATCACGGGGGGGGGGGGGCGGGAGCATTTATGAATTAACGATCATCTGTGACCCTCTGTCTTTTGGAGCCGCTGCCAACACAGGCACCTGCAGCTGCTGCAGGCCAGAAAGGCACAGTGATACAGGCACAGGGCAGGCCCCGCTGTACTCGTCACCTATCCAGATCCCTGTAAGAACAAACTGTGCGGATGGCGCTGACTTAGGCCTCAGAGAGGGAGCAAAGGGGACAGAGAATAATTCCAATGTAACTGCATTGTTCCACACATTTTAGACACATTTGTGCTTCCGGCAATACCTGCAATGTCACTGAGGCCAGGGATGTTCCACGGCCAGTCAGCTTGATGGCCTCACGGACACCTCCCCCAACGTCCACGCCCCTGCCCTGCCTCGATTCCTCCATCCCAGCTGACAGCCCAGGCCCAGCCCTCCGGGCCATTCCTCAGCAAGCGCCTCGGCCAGCCCCAGCGCAGCGGCCCCTGGTAACCGCGGCCTCAGGCACACCCACACGCGCGCCTGCAACACCTGGCTGGAACAGCCGCAACCACATGCAAAACAAGCCATGCAACACGCACATGCAAACACAGGTGCACAGCCTACACGACTTCCATCGTCACTTTTAAACATGGGCACCTGAGTGGCCAAGCACACCTCCCCAGTGCCCCCCGTCCCTCTGGCTCCGCAACCCTCCACTTCCCCCAAAGGAGGAGCCCTCACTTTCCCGCAGTCTGCCCTGTGGTGGCAGTTAAGCCACCAGAAGCCAAAGCCTCCCCACGTGCTCCCAACCCCCATTCCTTCCTGTGCTCCACTCTCCCTCGTGCTGATCCTTCCCTGACAGCGAGCGACGTGCTCTGTTAATTCAGCTATTCAAACAGGAACTCTCTTCCCTGGCCCCACCTGCCCCTCCGTACAGGCCCAGTGCACCAGCAGGGCAGTCAGATGTGCCCTGCTCAGGCATTAAATGGGGTGCAGTGCCAGCCCAGACCCCCGACTCCTGCTTGGTAATTAACACACAGTCCCACCAATGAGAAAGAAACCCTTTAATCCTCAACACCCTGTTTGACCGCTGCAGGGAAACCATTGTGACACCTGTTCTATACAGCAAGAACAGAGGCTCAGAGGAGTTTGAACGGCCTGCCCAAGGCCACAGAGCCCATGAGGATGTGAAGGTGATGGCCTCTAGCGAACTTTCTAGTCCAAATCCCCCATGTAGACTAGAGACTGAAGCCCAGGGCACCTCGCACTCACAGCTGAGCAGAACTCCTGGCCATGCCCTCCCCCACGGGCCCCCCCCTGTCCGAATGGTTCTGGGATGGAAAGGAAAGCAGAGTTCAGGCACACCAGTAGGGTGCCAATAATACTCAGACGTCATGAGAAAGAACGTGAGAGGAGAAGAGGGACAGACATCTCACTATTCCCTCTAAGCGTGCTCACGGAGAAACTCCAGGTTTCTGGGGGGAAGTCTTGGTGGTGGTGGCTCAGACACCACTAAAGAGGAGGAGGAGGCAGGCGACCTGGTGCCCAGGCAGAAGAGGACATCGTCCCACCTCAACCGGCCCTGCCCCGAGCAGCGCACTTCTCCCTGAAAGCCACAGGGGCAGCAGCGGCCTGCCTGGCTGGACGCGCGGGCACCTGCCAACCACCTGGGCTTCCTGCAGCCCTCCCTCCATGTCCTCAAAGTCCACACTCACCGCGTGGTTCTTGCAGCCCGACTCCAAAAGTGTGACGTTCCTTTCTTTCCACGGCTTATGCTCAGCCATCCCAAAGGCCCACCTCGCAAGCACCTCCCCAGGAGAAGGCCCAGGGCTCCAGAGAGGACTTGACACCACACTGCCCCAGGCGCAGGGAAGAGGCAGAGTGAGCAGGAGAGCTCCACTGGGGCCACCATTAGCCTCTCCCAAACAGCACAAGGCTCCGCCTGTCACAAGCACTGGGACTCTGGTGGGGTTTCTCCCAGCCTCCAGCCACAGACTGAGACCCAGCTTACCAGGTCTGGCCAGTGTTGGCGCCCGGGCCCCCAGAGCCTGACAGGACTTCCGGGCTCAAGAGCTGATCCCACGTGGCTCACGCCTGTATCTAGCTACTCTGGGAGGCTGAGGCGGGCGTGATGCCGAGGTCAGGAGTTCAAGAAACAGCCTGAGGCAAAGAGCGAGACCCATCTCTACTATAAATACAGAAGAAATTAATGCAACTATATTATAAGAAAAAATATCTGGGCATGGTGGCGCATGCCTGCTAGTCCCAGCTACTCGGGAGGCTGAGGCAGGAGGATCGCTTGAGCCCAGGAGTTTGAGGTTGCTGTGAGCTAGCTGACGCCATGGCACTCACTCTAGCCTGGGCAACAAAGCGAGACTCTGACTCAAAAAAAAAAAAAGAGCTGATCCCAGCTGAGGTCATAGTTGAGTGGCAGGGGCCCAGCTGCAGACACATCCGGGCCCCAGCCCCTGAAGAGCCGTCCCTGCCTGGCATTAGGTTTGCCGTCAGGAAAAGCCAGTGCTCTAAAGGACTGTCAAATGTCAAACTCCATCGCATGCTCAGGTCTCAAAACGCAGCCTTCAAATGGCAGGGACTTCTGGAACCCCGAGTCGGGGATGGAACGGACGCTAGGACCTAGGAGGCTCTGCCACACTCCCACAGCCTGCTCTGTTCTCCCCACACGCAGGCACTGACAAGGCCTGCAGTCTGGAGTCAGGAGCCCGAGTGCGAATCCTGGCTCAGCCTCACCCTCGCTGTGTGACCTTGGGCAAGTTATGGCATCTCTTTGAGCCTCTGCTTTCTCTGCTACAAGAGGGGGTGTAGCCCAAGCCCAGCGTGATGGAGAAGGTGGAGCAAAGTCCTGTTGGAGCCGGCCCTCCTCAGCCCAGGTGACAGCCCTCCCTGTCCCTCGGGGCCCACCTGCCCACTCGGGTCTCACCTCCCGGATCAGCTGCTTCTCGGCCTCTGTGTCGTGCTGGATCACAGGTGGGGGGCACAGCTTTTCCTCCGCCTGGACAGGGTTTGGGGGCGCCTGGCTGGAGAGCAGGGCTGGGGGAGAAACAGACATAAGCTACCGAGACCAGGGTGCACACGGTTTGCAGGACCTGAGCGGAAATCTGCAGAAAGATGACCACGCGCTCATTCAAAGAACACTCTGACTGACTGAACTCGTTTCAGGTCCCCGTGGAAAATGCTCGCTTAGTCGTCCGACAGAGCCCTCTGCGTCCTAGACACTAAGGATGCCACCCTGCACAGAGACAATCTCCAAGCCCACGTCGAGTCTTCCACGGGGGCAGAAAGGCAAACACAATAAATAAGCAAAATGCGTAACAAGTTACGAGGGGATGTCCACTAAGAAGACAAAGAAAGCGGGGCGGGCGCTCAGGCGTGGGGGCGGGAGGAAGGGCCGCAGTTCACACAGCGTGTTACGGCTTCTGAGTCAAGGCGAGACGAGCGCAGTGGGCTGAAAGAAGTGCGGGAAGAGAGTGGCAGAGACCTTGAGGAGGAGGCTGCAAGCCTGGGAGCAGTGCGTGCAAAGGCCCTGGGGCAGGCGCGGGCCTGTGCTGTCGCTGTCGCAGGGACAACCGGGAGGCCAGTGTGGCTGGAGATGAGGGAGTGACTGGAGGGCAGGCGCAGAGAAGGTTGGAGAGGGATGGAGGCCAGGCTGCGAGGGCTTTGGCTTTCACTCCGGGTTAAACGGTGTGTGCAGGGCAGTAACAGGACAGGGTTTGAACAGGCTCTCCCGGCTGCTCCATGGAGGGCGCGCTGAGGGAGGCCTGCAGGCAGATCGCGCAGCAGCAGATGGGCTCTAGCCACGTTCTGAAGGAAGAGACAACAGGACCTGCTGACGGACTGGATGCGGATTTGAGAGAAGCGAGAAGCCCAGGCTGACCCCGCGGTTTCCGGTCTGACGCCCAAGGGCTGCGCTGCCGTCAGCCGGGCGGGGGCGGCTGCGAGGCTGGCAGATGGGGGCCCGTCAGGAGCGGAGTGTGGGATGTGTCGAGTTTGAAATGCTTATTACGTGCTGCATGTTCGAGTCTGGAATTCAGGAGACACTTTGAAATTCAGAAGACACTTTTTTCAATATTTTATGATGTGTTGTCATCTTAGGGGACCTGCTGGCCAGGGAGAGACGGCCCCTCCTAGGGCTAGCTAATTCCTAGAGACAGCAAACAACTCGTCCGTAAGTCCATTTCTGATACATAAACCAACCAACCCCGACTCCGCATCCCCAGCCCCTCTTTATCTAACTTCCAGACGCCAAGCCAAGCTCTCCCTGCCTGAACCAGCCCGGGCTGCGCACCAGGAGCAGCCCTGCACTGGAATCACCCAAACTCGCCGGTCCCGGCCTGTCCCTGGCCCTCCGTGCCTTCCCACGGAAGCCCCCGCAAAGGCTCTGGCCAAGGCCGTCCCCTGGCCCCGCTGCGGCCTCCCCTGCCTCCCCTTTCTAGGGGACCTGTAACATTCCTTAAAATGGCAGTGACCTCCCCAGGTTGTCACTCAGTCACCTTTATAAATCAGGACCCAGACACAAATCGCATGGCCAGGCTGGGTCCACATGGGGAAGTCCTGAGCACAGAGGTGGCGACTGACACCATGTGGCCAGGTGAAGCCACCTTAGCGAGCGTAGAGAGAGGGGAGGACGGAGGAGGACAGGCCTTGGGACTGCCCAGCATCAGCAGCCCGGGGAGGGGAGGACACCCCGGACCGAGGAGGACCAGGACGGAGGAGTCCAGAAGCAAGCGCTCCCAGAAGGGAGGGGCCAGCTGAGCCACCGGATGGGGAGAGGGCCAGGTGAGGCCTGCCTGAGGCTGACCGCTGGTGTGGCGAGGAGGCGCCATCACGGCCAAGGGCAGAGCCAGCAGGAGGGACGAGAGGCTGGAGGAGAGAGCCGGGGGCTGGGAAAGTGGGCAGCTGTTTCTAGTCCTGCTAAAGGGAGAGAGAGAAACTCGCCGGTTCCAGAGGGAGAGCCCGGCCGAGCGGGCGGCATCTCACAG